AGCATAGCAGGCCAGCCTCGCTCCCTGCTTTATGAAATTGTACTTTTTAATATCTCCCTGCCTAGAATAGGTGAAAAACCTATTGCAGAAGACGACTCCTGAACCAGCTTTGGACGGACGGGTTCATGCGCAATGCTGTGAGCTCTGTGAGGCTCCGTGGAGCAGCCAGGAGTTGGGAGTTCATCACTGGGGTGCCTCAGGGGCTGCCAGCAATAACATGGCCCAGTAATGAAACCTTTAGCTTCATATAAACTGATCCTTTGCCTTTTCTTTTAAGAGCAAAATATAAAGCTGCGGTAGTTTAAAGGTGAATTTCCTTCTCTTCTTCCCCCACTCCCCAAAAGACCCAGCTTGATGGAGGTCAGATTGATGGTTTCAGTGCCTGCTTCTCTGTGCACTGTGATTTGCCTGATTCATCACTTTGGTAATAAATTTTAACAAAGTATGTCTATTAAATATGTCATTTTCCTTCAGCAGCTTGGGCACTTGGTCTATTTTGCAGACAAAAAAAACCAAAACCACCAGGAAGTGTCAAAAAGGTAAGACAATAAAAAGCCTACGGCTAACGATGCCAAATTGCCTGCCCAGACAAAGTGGCAGGGGTCCCACACCTCATTGAAGTGGGAGACTGGGGAAGTTCCTGGCACCCAGGCTCCCCAGGTTGGGTTATTCCTGAAATGCAGCAACACCCTTGCCTGTGGCCTCCAAGCTGCATGTGCAGGGGAACGGGGTCCCATTCAAGTGACAGTGTTTAAAGCTGTCTGGATGAGCCCAGCGTGTTACACATGGGAACACAGTGCTGCAGGATTCTGGATTTCACAGCTTGCTTTCGCTCCTGTGAACAGCAAACATTAACAGCACGTTTCCCCAGTTATGCTGACTCCTGGTGGAAGAGGCCGCTCCTCCGATCCCCTCCTGCTTGTTTTGCTCCAAGACTGCAAAACCAGATTTAAATCTCCATGAGAAAGGTGGTTACGTCCAATCACAGAAACTTTGAGGCATGGGAGACTTTGTGAACGCTCCCCAGCTTGGGCTCGCCCCTCCAGCATTGACAAATGTCTCCAGCCACACTCCCTGAGGGCTTGCTGAGGTCTGGCAATGGAAACATCAATGGAAATGCAAAGGAAATCCAGAAATTTGCTGTTCATGGGCACAGTGGCTGCATCAGCAGGACCGGACCAGCTCCGCATCCCCATGCAGAGCTGCATCCCCCAGGATGCTCCAGATGGCCGCCTGGTCCCCGGGTAAATTTGGTCTGTGTGTCCTTGCTCACTACGCCGACACAGAGGTACACAGAAAACACTGCTTTATTGACTGCATTTGCCAACACATTGAGGAATGCAAAGGGTTTTTTCTCATAAGCAATGGCCCATGGTCCCAATGTGTATTAAAGCATACACTGTATCTAAACAGGATGAAAATAATGGCAGACAGAGCTATTCCAAGGCAACACAAATAGCATGCATAATACAGTCTCACACAGAACGAGTTTGATAACATTATATTGCTTTAAGGATTAACTAACATGGAAAATGTACAAAAAGGAGAAATAGGTTTTTGCATTAATGAAAAATACATTTTTTCTCTACAAAGGAATTTCTAATACAAGAAAATAAATATTGCAACATAAGCCAAAAATAATTTAAAATTGCTCTTTTCAATATATTTTCAATATTTCTCTTTTATATTAACAAATGGCACATCACGTTCTTTGAAACAAAGAAAACAGAAGGGTTTCTCCTCCTGCGACATTCATATCGTTTCCTGTAACTGATGTGAAGTGGGTCTGTTTTGTATGTGGAATGGCGCAAACTGGGGGGATTTCCTTAAAGAACAACCAAACCTCATGCTCTGCCCTGCGGCAGCATCATCCTGGGGACGCCTGCTCCCGCATCCCAGCTCCATCCTGCATCCCACCTTGGGGCAAGCTCTGTGGGGCAGCGGCCATCCAGGCCCCATAACATAGGTGCAAGCGAAAAAACCCAAACCAAACAAGGGGTGCGGGGAAAACGGGTGTGTGGCATCGGAGCTGTCCTCACAGACTCCCGCAGCCACTGGGGCTGGGTGGATGTTGGGGCTGTGCTCCGTGATGCCCCATGACGCTATCTGCATCCTCATCTCAACTACAACGGCTGGTCTTACAGTGCAAATGTCGATTCCTGCAGTTCATACATCTTAAAAGACAACATTTCTCTACTAAAATAAACCTTTTTTTTAATTATTAATTTCAAAATACATTTACAGCAACATCAAAAATATTTGCCTTGTGCATTTTCTCTCCTGAACACGCTGCTCCGAGGTGGCGGAGGGGATGCATCGAGCAGGGGATGTGCTGGGGTGGCCACAGCTGCCCTAGCACGGTCCAGCCCAGCCACCCCTCACCCTGCTGCGCCCCAGCCCCGCCACCCCTCGTCCTGCTGTGGTCCAGCCCCACCAGAGCCTCTTTCCTCTGTGGGTGCCTCTTTTCTCCTCTCTTCTTCCCCCCACCCAATTTTTCTTCCCAGGTTTGATGTGCCCCACCAGCCCCCTTCAGCCTTCCCCACCTAAAGGCAGTGTCCCAAAGGCAAAATACAATGCCTGAAATTTTGGGAGTGTTTCACGCTGTTTTATTGCCTGGCGCTGGCGGCGCTGGGTTGGTTGTTCTTTAAAGTCTTCCCCCTTTTGCTTTCCTGTACTGAGAAGACAAAGTAGTGCAGAAGCTGAAATGGAGCTGTGTACAGTGAAATTTGTGGATTGCTTTTTTAACCATAATTGAGTGAAGCACACGGAAGCAAGATTCATTAAAAGGCAGCATATTGATTATTGTTATGACTCTTATACTAGGATACTGTAGCTAAAGCTAGCAAGCCTGATAAGATAAACTAAGTCCTATTTACCGTATTTAACATTATCTGAACATACTGAGCCTTAATTAATGAGCAGATTTTCATTTCCAACCTCAGTGGATTATGCTAATTTATAACAAAGGTGGTTCCCATTTTGTTGATTTTCTGTTATTTGGTTCACTTTGTGTTGGTTTTTTTCTTTCCTGCTAGCAACTTGTGTAACGTTTTCCCATCTGAGGACAACTCCTCCCCGGGCATGGTCCACGGTCTCAGCCGGGTTAGTGTTGGGCTCAGCCAGGGCTGGGCACCGGCGCTCAGCATCGCCCCAGTCCCCGCCGCTCGCCATGCCGGGGGTGAGCTCGGCCGGCATCGCTTATCTCTGCTGCAACTGTAGCACTAATAAGGACTTTGGAAGGCTGATTTAAAAAGATGATCTATTCTAAAACAATCAATTGAAGGAGTCTCAAGAGTTTCAAAAGCGAGCTCACAGTGAAATGAGCAAAAAGCATTGGAAATCAAAACGGCGGGATGCAGTCTCGGAGCAGCAGCATCCCTCGGAGCAAGCTTGGAACCTAACGCCGCAGCAGTGTGTTATGAGTGTGTCTTTAGTCCTTTGTTGCTAAATAACTTCCAATTTTTTTATCGTGACAAGTTTCTGGTTTCTGGCTGTGCTGCTTGACTGTCAAAATATTCTTTGGCATCCACAATATTATTTGACTGATTGGTTTGACAATTGCAAGGTTTTTTTGTTTAGTGATGGGTTTAACCGGTTGCAGAAGTGTCCCAGGTTTGGGTTTTTTTTTTAGTTTTTTTTTTTTTAAACATTTTTTTATTTTTAAAAAACAACAACAACAAAAGTTTCAGTGAATTCCTTTTTTGTTTGTTCCCTGAGCTCACACTGGGGTCACTCCAATAAAACACATAGCACGACTTAACTGTGACCTTTGAAGCCAAAACCGAAGTAATGGTGCAATTAAGTGCAAACATGGAAATTCGCCTGACTTGTAGGTAACATGGGCTTTTAAACAACATTTAAGGCTTACTGGGGACATTTTATGCATTAAATTATTGTAATATTTATAATGTCAGCTTCTGTGAATCACCCTCCCACAACAAGTCAACAGCTTGTAACCAGGACTTAAGGAATAACAAAAACAAAAAAGGGATGGGGAGGAATAAATTCACCATTCCCATAGTAGCGTTTAGAAGGAAAACAAAATGGTGAAGGCAAGCGTTTCCATTTCCCCCTCGGTGATGGGTACCTTTGGCCTTGAGACCAAGTGTTTCGCTGTGCAAAGGGGATTTCAGATGTGCCACCCCAGCACGGGGGGGACCACGGCAGCCATAGGAGAGAAGCACGGGCAGAAAAACTTCGCTCAACCTCCCGGGTCAAACCAACTCCGACTCCCCACAGTGTTTTTAAAGGATGCTTTTCTCCTCCATCGTGCCCCACATTTCCATTTCCCAGCTTGCCAAGAGCTGATCAATTCACCTGAGTAAATCACTTCAGCTTTCCAACGACCTCAACAGGGTTGACTCCCAGGGCAGGAATGAGGAGAAGTTTTGCATCCTGGCCCCCTGGACGGACCCCGACCAGACGGAAAGATGAGGGGAAAGTTAATGATCGAGGTTTTTTTTTCTAAAAATAGAAACATAACATTGCTCTCCTCCTCCCCAAGCGCTTTCCTCCAACAAGCTTTTTGTGCTTTAGTCATTATTTATTTTAATACCGCTTACTTTGCTTCCTCGTTATACGCCCGCAGGTGGGTATCTCCCCTCGCTTGCTCCCTGCTCATGGGGCAACTATCCCAGGCAGAAACCTGCCCCTCATTAAATAATGCCCATTAATTAAACTGTCATCCCTGCAGAAAACACAGGTACCAGAACCCTCTGCCCTCTTGGCACCCTCAGCATTGGTCCTGTCGGGTGCCGGATCACATTCCTGGGAAATGGGGTCTGGCGGGGAGCCAGGGAGGGGCCGCTGCTGTCACGGTCATCGATGGCGGTGAAGCTGAAGCTGTATCTCAGGCGTATAGAGAAAAGAAAGACAACAGTGCCGAATTTCCAACTATATACACATATTAAAAACCCCCCTCGCTGTGATACCAGGCAGAAATTGGACATGGCAGTTGGAACTGGGTTGAGGCCTCGTTGTGCTGGTGGGGCCGGGAGGACTTAGGATGCCAGGATACTCATCCTGACGATGTCCTCACCGGCTGCATCCAGCTGGCCCCGCTGTGCCCTGCCGCCACGGGGCTCCCCATCCGAGTCGCTCATCTCTGCATCGGAGAAGTAGCCGTCCGTCTCGGCGTCGAAACGACGCAAGGGAGCTCCGCCGGCGCCGTCGGGCTTGGGGGGCTGCGACTTCCGAGTCCCTCGGCTCTCCTTTGGTAATTTGAACCGCACGACGGTTTTGGGGCTACCTACGGAGTCAGGCACTTTGGCCGTGGGGCTGGGCTCCGGCTGAGTGCAGCGCGGCGTCTCCTCTTCCTCCTCCTCCTCCTCGCCAACACAGCCCCTCACCCCGGCTGGGGGGTGAGGCTCGCCAGTTTTTGGGAGAGAGCCCTTCTTGGCCGCCTTTTTCGCCTCACCCGTCCCTTTGCGGTCGGTGGGAAGCTTCGCCGCCCCTTTCTCTGACTTGCTGGGTCTGGAGTCAGGAGAGAAGGGTTTGGCAGCATCATCCGACAAGTCACTGGCGTTGTTAGTCCAGGGCTCCGAGCTCTCCGGGTGGCTCCCACCCCCAGTTGGGGGGCTGCTCCTGGGCAGCTTTTTCTTAGTGTTCGTTCTCGTTTTGCTTTTCACTTTCTTCGCAGCCTCACTCTGCTTAAATGGAGACCTGAGGGAATGGTCCATCATGAAGCTCAGCAAGGTCTCCTCATCCTGGAGGAGCTCCTCAGAGAGGCCGGGGGTGCTGTCCTCGTGGTGGGCATTGTTGAGGGACCACTCGCTCATTGCCATGTTCTCGGCGGTGATCTGGACCGACTGTGCCAGCCAGCTGTTGAAGAAGGTCCCGTCAATGGGGAAGGAGGTTGATAAGCCTGGAAAAAAACAAAAGGGGAAGATTGTTTCAGGAGCCAGAAACAGCCATGCTGCCCTTTGACACCACCACCAACTTAAAACTCCTCGGCACCAGAGAAATACTCGAATGGCCAATCATAATGTACCCCATCAGGGCACAGAAGAGGGTTTTTTCACACTCCGTGAACCTCCCCAAATCTAACTGGAGCACCTTTCTGCAGTGAAGAGGCCAAGGCCCAACCTACCCCAGCACAGGTGGAAAACACATTCTCATGCAAAGGCAGGAGGACCACCAACCCAGGGGTGAACCTAAAAATCAGCGACTGCTAGCAAAA